AGGCTGAGGCTTGAACCCCTAAAGCTGGTTCCGTAGGGCGTGGCCCTTGTTCTATCAGTGTAATGTCCGAGTTGAGCAAGAAGATAAGCCTCACAGATAAGGGAATCCACCCGCAGACCGTCGCCACGTGTCTTTGCCCCTTGGGGTACCCCAGCCCCCAGGCTTCTGCGCCCCCACCTAGGGCTGGGAGGCAGCGCCCTGGCGCGCCCTATTCTGTCCCTGAGAACCCCGATCCTTTCATGATGGGCCTGAGACTTACTGGTCAGAATTGGGACCCGGGAATAAAGACCAGAAGTCTTGGAAGATTTGGAACCCCAGGGAGTCCTTGCTCTTGTGTGGTTTTCACTTTATTTTAGAAGTTTTAGGTTTATAGAAAAGTCGCAGAGAGGATGAAATCCATATTCTTGGGCACAGAACGTCAGTCCCCCCCCCCCCTTTTTTTTGTTTTTGCGGAACCGGGGCTTGAACTCAGGACCTTGTGCTTGCCAGGCAGGCGCTTATTCTACTGAGCCATCTCCCCGGCCCCCTCAAGCCCTTTAGGAGCTGGCCCCGGTGTACGGTGCACGTTTCGACTTCATCTTGCACCCCTGTCACCACCTGTCTTGCACGCTGCTCCTCCAGCCTGGTGTACATTCTGGGTTCCTCCCACTAACTGAAAAGTGTGGTGAGTTTGACCTTGGAGGCTAAAATGTCATCTTAATGATTCCATGGTAATCTCTCCCTTACTCTTCACCCTTATGGATGTTCCACATAATTTTATTGAAGCACATGATGTGAATTATCTAAGATGGTTTAATGAGCTGTGAGTCATTCTCTGAGAGCAAGAAGCTTGACTTAGCTTCCGTTCCCAGCTCTAAGCGGAGGGAATAAATATTTATGGGGTTCCGTGTTACTGTGCCGTGCACTGTCCTGGTTGCTATGGTGATAGGTGTGCTCTATAAACATGGTTTCTGCCTTGACGGAGCTTCTCAGCGAATGTTCCTTGAAGGAAATATTTAATACTGTCCAGTGGAGCTATGAAATAGTTCCCAAACACGTATGGAAGCTAGAGGGCCTATTTTTCTGTTTTCTAGAAAGCAAATGTATGGTTAATGTATTCCAGAGGAAGGGTGACAGTATTTTTAGGATGGATAAAACTAGATTGTCTGCATGGGTCGTCTGGAATAGTTTTCCATTTCCTGTTTCCTGCAGGCAGATGCGTTCAGCTGTTCTCAGTGACCAACTACAAACAAGATAGGGGGTGTGCGGTTTTCTATCCTAGTTATTTGATGGCGTAGATTCCTATCTGTTAAGAGTTTGAATTTGCTGTGTTTTACAACTTAACAACTGGACAGTTCTTGCAACATATAGACTTGGGAGTATCACAACCACTTTAAAGGAAGGACTAACAGGTGACAGTTGAGTGACATGACTTGTCCAAAGCCAGTGGGAGCCACTATTAAAATGCAGATGTGGGGCTGGTGAGATGGCTCAGTGGTCTAAAGCACCTACTTAGAACAAGCTTAGCAAAGCACAGGGACCACAGTTCAATCCCCCAGCACCACATGCCAGCCAGCCCCACCTCCTGGTGGGCTGAGCTGGCCACACACACACACACATAAATAAATAAATAAAAATTTAAAAAAAATGCAGATGTGTTGCCTTTCTT